GCAATTCTGTTCATCAAGCTTCAGCATACACGTGAGTTAATCTTCTGATTCTGGTATTCTGATATAGCAACTTCGGATGCTGGTGTTAAAGACCAATATTCTGATGCTGATTAAGTGTGCTCTTGCTGATACCTATCAGAGTTTCTGCAAATCAGAAAGTAATATTTTAGGTAGCAAATCGTTCATACATGAATCACATAAATAATATATATTTTCATTTTGTTATCATCAAAACTTAAACATAGGGTAGTAGATTCAAACTTTGTTCTATCAATCTCCCCCTTTTTGATGATGACAAAAACTAGATATTTTTAAATGAAAATAACGTGAAAAAGTATCAGAGATAACTAAATGATAAGATGTATCAGAGTAAGAGGTTATCAAAGATAAGGGATAAAGAGATATAAGAGTTGAGAGATACTCCCCCTGAATTTATTGCTTCCCTTTTTAATTCCAAGAGTTCTTCAGGATCAGATCTTTATTGCCTTTCTTTGAACATCAGAATATCAGAGTTTTGACTATCAGAAGCTTTGGATCAGAATGTTAGAGCAGAGCTTCAGATCAGAGTATCAGAGCTTTTCTTATCAGAGCTTTGCTTTGGGTCAGAGCTTTAGTCTTTAGAATATCATGGGGCATTCTTGTACCTGTAGACTTAAGCAAAAACAGAAAACATATTCAAGTATATCAGAGTTAGAATGTTTGAGATTTTCTGTCTTAGTAATCCGTTATTATTTAAAATATCATTCTTGTTCTCCCCCTTTTTGTCAGCAACCAAAAAGTGTAAGTGATGTGCTAAAACATTTAGAGCAGAAAAACTTGTCATATTAAAAAGTTCAGAATCAAACAAAACAGTACAACAGATAATCAAAGAAAACATGAAAATGACATGAATGAAAAAACTAAGGTTGGGGAGGAAGGCGTGTGAACAGGTTCTCCAGCATGGCTTTGATCTGATCAGCAGTCTCATTCTGCTTGTGCACCATGCTGACAACTGTGTCTATTTTGCTATCCTGCACATCCATCCTTTCTTTCATCTTTTGGTCATTTTCATCCATCCTTTGCTGCAGACGCATGTCAGCACATCTCTCAGCCATATCAATACAGCGGACGCCACCGCCACTGTAACCAATTAACCTTGCTATGTGATCCTCAGTGATCACAATCTTCTACCCCATAATGTAGGAGGTTACTTGATGCGTTGAAGCAGTTGCATGAATCCAGAACTCTTTGACTAACATTGGAAATGTTGGTCCAACCAACCTGTCAAAATACCTTTCCCATTTCTGTGCCCTAACTTCTTCTGTTAAATCAAAACCGTTTTCCTTCAGACTTCCAAAATCAACGATCAATTCAGATAACACTTCAAGATTCTTCACAAGAGTGAGGACTGTTCTGAATGGCACTTGATACTGTTCAGATGATGCTTTCTTCTGAGAACCTGCAGAAGCACTGCTGGAGGTTGCCATGTTCACACTGAAGGATTTTAAGAAAAACTGAGAAAATGGGTTTGAGAGAGATGAACACAGAAAAATGCAGACAATACTTGAGAAATAATGAGAAACTGTAAAATATTAAAGTGAGAGGTTAACGTGCTTAAATAGGCTTCAGAATATTTTGAAATTGTAAACGTTTTCAAGAAAGAGAAATATAATCATGATTACGTTTTAAAATTATGATTACTTTCATTTAATGCTTGCTGATTTTGGGGGATTTGAGAAAGATACTTAAAAACGGTTACCAGACATGTGTCTCAATGCACCTAATCAGCGTTTTGCCTTCTCAGAAGCGTGCACGCGTTCTGCTTCAGAGATTTCCTGATGATTGGATGACACTTGTTTGATGTAGTGATCAGCACGTCTGTCTTTGAGCTTAGACTCTCAGATCTTTAGACTAGCATCTGATACAATCTGCATGTTCTATCTTTCTGAAAGGAGATTGATCAGAAGTTCACAGTAAAACAAATACATTCTGAAGATAAATATATGGAATTAAAACATTTTCACTCTGGGCAGATTTTCTTGTTGAGATGTTTCTGAATGAAATTGAACCTATCTTCAGAAAGGGACTTAGTGAAGATATCAGCCCATTGATGGTCTGTATCTATAAATTTTAAATTCAAAATTTCCTTCTGAATATAGTCCCTAATGAAGTGATGTTTTATTTCTATATGCTTAGCTCTAGAATGTAAAATGGGATTCTTACTTAAGCAAATAGCAGAAGTATTATCACAGTGTATAGGAATGTTACTCTCAAAAATTTGGAAGTCTTCAAGCTGACTTTTCATCCAGAGCATTTGTGCGCTACATCCTGCTGCTGCTATGTACTCAGCTTCTGCTGTTGATAGCACAATTGTTGATTGCCTTTTGCTGGACCAAGAGATCAGATTTTCTCCCAGAAACTGGCAGCTTCTAGAAGTACTTTTACGCTCCACTCTGTCTCCAGCAAAGTCAGCATCGCAGTAGCCTACTAAACTGTAATCACTAGATTTTCTATAAAACAAACCCAGATTAGTAATACCTTTCAGATACTTGAAAATTCGCTTAACAGCTGTTAAGTGAGATTCTCTAGGATCTGATTGGAATCTAGCACAAATACAAACGCTGAATAATATATCAGGTCTTGAAGCTGTCAGATAAAGGAGAGAACCAATCATACCTCTGTAGACTTTCTATTCTACATTTTTGCTTACCTCTTCTCTTTCCAGAATGCACGTGGGATGCATTGGAATCTTTGATGGCTTACATTCTGAGAGGTCAAATTTCTTCAGAAAATCTCTAATGTATTTGCTCTGATGAATGTAAGTTCCCTCTGGAGTTTGATTGATCTGAATTCCTAGAAAGAATTTCAGTTCCCCCATGAGGCTCATCTCAAATTCTGCCTGCATACACTTAGCAGATTTTCTTCCAAGAGAAGGATTAGTAGAACCAAAGATAATATCATCAACGTAAATTTGACAAACTAAGATGTCATTCTTAACTGATTTACAGAATAAGGTATTATCCACCTTCCCTCTGGTGAATTCATTTTCTAACAGAAAGTTACTTAGCCTTTCATACCAAGCTCTGGGAGCTTGTTTCAGACCATATAGTGACTTCTTTAGTTTGAAAACATGTTCTGGATGTTTTGTATTTTCAAAACCAGGGGGTTGGTGCACATAAACCTCTTCTTCTATATAACCGTTTAAGAATGCACTCTTGACATCCATCTGATACAGAGTGATGCCTCTATTAACAGCAAATGAAATTAAAAGTCTGATAGATTCTAACCTGGCGACTGGAGCAAAGGTTTCTGTATAGTCTATCCCCTCTTGCTGACTATAACCTTGTGCAACCAGTCGTGCTTTGTTTCTGATGACTTCAACTTGTTCATTTAGCTTGTTTCTGAAGACCCATCTTGTTCCAATAACGTTGAATCCTTTTGGTCTGGGAACAAGATCCCATACGTCATTTTTGGTGAATTGATTCAGCTCTTCTTGCATTGCCAGAATCCAGTCATTATCCAGAAGTGCTTCATCAATAGAAGAAGGTTCAATCAGAGACACAAGTCCCATAAGGGTTTCTTCAGAGTTTCTGAAGCTTGCTCTTGTTCTGATTGGATCTTCCTTTCTTCCTAAGATGGTCTCTTCTGGGTGATCCAAGCTGCTTCTGGGTAATCTCTTCTGAGGTTGATCAGCAGCTGTTGTAGGATTGCTAGGAGTGCTCCTTTCAGATTATGAAGGAGTGTTTGTGTTGAGAGCTTTTGATGACTTGTCTTCAGAACCTGTAAATTCAATTTCCATACCTGCAAAAACTTCATTCTGCTTTGACTTTTCAGAGTCAAGCTTATCATCAAAACGAACACTGATTGATTCTTCCATAATCTGTGTTTCTGTATTGTATACTCTGTACCCTCTTGAGCATTCAGAGTATCCTAACATAATACACTTCTGTGCTTTAGAGTCAAACTTGTTCAAATAATTCTTTGTATTTAACATAAAACAGGTACATCCAAATGGATGAAAATATGAAATGTTGGGCTTTCTGTTCTTCCACAATTCATATGGAGTCTTTTCCAGAATAGGTCTTATTGAGATTCTATTCTGAATGTAGCACGCTGTGTTTATTGCCTCTACCTAGAAGATCTTAGCAACATTTGTCTCATTGATCATGGTTCTGGCCATTTCTTGCAATGTTTTGTTCTTTCGTTCTACAACTCCATTTTGTTGGGGAGTTCTAGGACAAGAGAAATCATGCAGAATGCCTCTGTCATTAAAGATTGACTCAAAGTCTTTGTTTTCAAATTCTCCACCATGATCACTTCTGACTTTAACGATTCTAAGATCCTTTTCATTCTGAACTTGGTTACAGATGGTAACAAACACCACTACAAGAAAATTAGTGTTTAACGACACAAAAATTGCGACAGTTATGTGATAACTGTCGTAATTGACATATAGCGACAGTGTTTACGACAGTTGACACCAACCGTCCCTAATATTTATTTTGCGACGGTATATTTAACCATCATAATATTATTATTACGACGGTAAAACAACCGTCGGCCCCCATTTAACACTTTTAACATTGATTTTTCACCAACAACTAGTCACGACGGTAAAATTAACCGTCCTAAAAGGCATATCACGACGGTAAAGCACCCGTCGCACCCTTAAACCTTTCACGACGGTAAAATTATCCGTCCTAAAATTCATTTCACGACGGTAAAACAACCGTCGCACCCAAAACCTTTAAAAATTCTCATGGGCACGACGGTAAAACACCCGTCGCCGTAAAAAAGTTAAAAAAAGCTGAGTTGTACCGCAATTTGATTTTCCGGGCATACGAGAGAAAAGAGAACTATGCCAATCCCCAATCACCAACTGAAAGAGAAACAAAACTTCCCTATTCTCTAAAGCTTGCCACCCCGTGGAAGGTCATCTAATGTTGAATTGATGTTAGGTTTTCAAAATCTCCTTTTCTGCTACTAATCGTTCCGCAAGGGTCTTCATCGCACAAGATTCAATGTCATCAAGATTGGAATCAGCAAGTCACAAACTCGTCATCACAAAGGAGGTAATTAAATCTCATATTTTGATTCTTTCACTCTCAAATGAAAATAATTTTGGGTATTTGAATCACCACTATGACTTCATCACCGTGTTTGATCTCGGGGGTGTTTTGATGTTTCTCACTAATATGCAAGTTAAAGTCTTCGATCATCCTACTGTTTAGATCACAATTTTTGATCCCGTCGGAGCTTTGACATTAGATGATGGAGCTTTAGATCAGTGATGGCGATGGTGTTATTGTAGAGGCTAACGGTGGTGTCTTTTTCCATTAGTGTCAAGGTGTTTGTGAAAATGCATAGTTGAATATTGGAGTCCAGTAGCACGTTGACGCTGGTGTCTTTTGCCATTGGTGTCAAGGTGTTTGTTAAAATTCCTAGTTGAAGATTGGAGTCCCGTAACATCAGTATGTTCAAGAAGGGAATGAGTAGAGAGGATGCTCATCAAGTGTTTGTTGTAATGCTCAACTCAAGGTATGGCTGAGTTTATAGAATTCTGATATGCTATGCTATATAGTGCCTAGTGGGTGTTGTAAAAGGACTTTATAACCATTTAAGCATCATATTCTGTTGCAGAGTGTGATTCTGACCAAAGCATGTTTATTTGAGTGACTTGTGTTGCTTCTGTCATATTTGCTAGCAACAAAGGTTTTACTTTTTGAAATTGAATTAGATTCCTTTGTTTGGGAATTCAATTCTTATTCTTATTTTAGATTTTGGGGTTCTTAAACCTTGGTTGGGTTGCAGGACTTCTACCATTTCATCCTGATTTGCTAGGTTTGGTTCAGCATTTCCTTCTACTTTTCTTGGTATGTTTTCTTAACTCTCTTCATCTTTATGTTTGTGTCTATATATATACACCTATGTAGCACAGATACTTCAGCCCAATGTCATAAGATATCTCTGAAATGGTTACATTTAGTCACTTCAATTTATTTCAAACTATTATCGTGTCTGTGCTAGTAGATATGCACTATTTATTCAATTTGTGTTTGATGTTTGAACTTAACAATGGTAGTGTTGTTGTTGTTGTAGATGTGGCCAGACCTTATTCAGAAATCCAAAGATGGAGGAATTGATGTCATTGAGACTTATGTTTTCTGGAACTTACACGAACCTGTTCGACGCCAGGTTCTGTTCTTTTTCATTGTCTTTCCACTTTCATATTGTTATTCTTCTGTCTTTTACATTGCAGTTTTGTGAGTTCTCAAAATTAACGATGGATTACATATTTTGGCTTGGCAGTACAATTTTGAAGGTAGGATAAGCAGAATGAGGTCCTTATGGAAACATACAGATCAATGTTGCATGAATTGCAAAAACTTCAGGTTGTTATATTTATACACAGTCCCTTTCTTAAGTATTTGGATTTGTAGCATTAAATCACCGGCTTTGTATATTTTGCTTTACTCTCTTTATTCTCCTATCAATTTAGGAAACTGCTAACTATGGCCTCAAGAAAATGGGGCTGACACTTTGAAGAGAGAAAAATGATATTTTTAGAATGTGATATTATTTCATGATTGAAAATTCAACATCTCATGATTTTGGCTCATTTGATATAAATCTTTTGAAACACTTTACTCCTGCACATTGTGATTTATCAGCTCAGTCTGATTTTTCTTATGGTCAAGATTGAGATGCTTATATCTCACAATATAGGCGATTCCTTTATCTTTGCAATATAATTCTAAGCTCGTGGTGAATTTTATTATTCCATGAATCTAGACCATTTCATTACAGCCGCTTGCAGCAAATGAGTTTCTCATTTTGATTCAACATATAGTTGTCTGATATATCTTTTGTATGATATGTTTACGGCGCATTTTAACATATGATTATGATTTTATTTGCTATCTTTCAGTTTCCATGTTACTGATATGTTTACTCATAGTATGCTTAGTGGAGAACCTAAAAAAATTGGTTGTTTTTTTAGCTCCAACTCTAAGCTGGCTCACACTCTTGAACTTGTTATTTGTTCCCTCTTTTTTGTTGCTGGCTACAATGTTTACAGGATAGTTTTGTTTTATTTTATTTGTGGCATATCAATATTTTCAAGAAATTAGAGTCAAAATTTTCTTTGGTGATTATTATTTTGAACAAGTAAATCACATGACATCTACAAAAACTTGAATCCCTAAATTTTGGAGTTCTGGTTGTTAGGTGGAAGAAGAGATGATTATGCGCAAGCTTTACGAAGTAATGTCCGTCCACGGTCTCACTAAACAGGTTAAGCTTTATCTGCTTTATTTCAGATTCTCAGTAACCAACCTATGTATAATGATATTCCCAACATTTGTCCAAAGAATTGAACTAATATTGGTGTTAACCTTTTTGGTTTCTGGTTATTGATGATGCTACTCTTGACGATTTTGCACAGAATGAAGACAACTCCAACGCTTCCAATAATAGTGCTGGAGCAGAACAAATCAATAATGAAGTCAATACAACACATGAGGATCAGTAAGGACAATTCTGCAAGAATTATAAAATTTCCATCTTCAGTAGATCAATACTCTCCATTAAAGAGATATTGGCTTTTTGTTGTATATGTAGTGCACTCTATTTACACTATTAGATGCTCTGTTGACCGAAATGGACTTGCAGCCCTGAGTCCCCATTTTAGAGGCACTCAAATTTTTTTTTAGTTATTTGTATAGTGTGTAAATATTTAGAAAGATACATTTTTATAATATTATTAATATTTAGAGAGGTCCTAGTATTAGCAATGTATTTGAGAGTTTGCAAATGTGCCTTTTATATAAATGGAAGAAATTAAAAGAGGATTATATAAATAAAAAATTCTATAATTTTATCTTTTCTTTCAATTTTAAAATTTAAAGTGTACAATATGAAGTGTATGTTTGATTTCAATTTTAGAAGGGGAAAAACACTTTCAGTAAAATATTATAGTAAAATAATATTATATTTAAAATTATTTTACTAAATAATAATTTAAATAAAAATATTATTTGAAATTTATAAATCAGATTACGACGGTTAAAGTCAAATTCACGACGGTATATAACCGTCGCAAACAACAACAACAAAAAATAAAGTCAAATTCACGACGGTATATAACCGTCGCAAACAACAACAAAAACAAAAAATAAAGTCAAATTCACGACGGTATATAACCGTCGCAAACAACAACAAAAACAAAAAATAAAGTCAAATTCACGACGGTATATAACCGTCGCAAACAACAACAAAAACAAAAAATAAAGTCAAATTCACGACGGTATATAACCGTCGCCATCTGTTGTGCGTGACAGTTTTTGCAACCGTCGCGAAATAGGCTGGGGACGCACGATTCTGCGACGGTACTTCTACCGTCGTAGATTGTAAATTGCGACGGTTTTAACCGTCGTAATCAGCCAAAATAACCGTCCCAATCTATCATTTTTCTTGTAGTGCACAGAGTGTGACTCGTCCTTGTGTCTTAAGAACTTTACCCATGTCCATCTGCTATAGTCATCTACGATTACTAACCCATACTTCTTGCCACTGACTGAAGCAGTTTTAACTGGTCCAAATAAGTCAACGTGCAGAAGTTCTAATGGCTTAGAGGTATAAACAACATTTTTAGATTTAAAAGAAGGTTTTGCAAACTTGCCTTTCTGACATGCTTCACACAGAGCATCTGAATTGAACTTCAAATTAGGAAGTCCTCTGACCAGATTGAGTTTGTTAATCTGAGATATTCTTCTCATACTAACATGCCCCAATCTTCTGTGCCAGATCCACTGCTCGTTGTTAACAGACAGAAGGCACTTTACATTCTGACTTTTCAGTTCAGAAAGTTTGATTTTGTAAATGTTGTTTTTCCTCTTTCCATTAAACAGGATAGTCCCATCTTTCTGACTAACAGCTTTACATGATTTTTGATTAAATATTATATCATAACCGTTATCACTTAATTGACTTATGGATAACAGATTATGCATTAATCCATCTACTAGCAGAACATTGTTAATAGAGGGAAGATTTCCATTACATACAGTTCCAGGGCCAATGATCTTTCCCCTCTCATTGCCTCCAAAGCCAACGTGGCCTCCAGGCTTAAGTTCCAGGCTTTGGAACATATGCCTTCTTCCCGTCATGTGTCGTGAGCAGCCAGAGTCCAGGTACCATGACTGGTGTTTCTGACTTGCTGCTAAAGATATCTGCAACATGTATTATTTTATCCTTAGGTACCCAGATTTTCTTGGGTCCTGATTTGTTAGATTTACCAAAACTCTGGTTGAATTTTGGTTTCACAGAGTACTTACTGCTAGTGTATTTAATATCATGTGTGTGACCATACACGAAATGTGAATTCAGGGGAGTGTGTTTAATGGTTAAGTCCATGACATTCTTTGGTGTAGGAACCTTACCTTGGTATCCTATTCCTTTCCTACCGTTTCTGCTAACTCCATAGATCATTGAAGCCATTTTGCTTCTATCTATGCTTTTAGCAAGGAACTTCTGGAAACTGTGATCATACTCCTTGATGATCTCATCACCGTTGCTGGGAGTTTCAAAAATTGGTTCCTTCTGAGAGTTTTGTAAAGTATTTTCTAATTTTGAAATTTTAGTTCTCAGCTCAGAATTCTCCAATTTAAGACTCTCAGTCTTATTAGAGTCAGATTCAAGATTCCTTTTCAGGTCTCTAAATTTCACTCTAATCTGCTGATACCTTTCCAGGATTTCATTAAGGCTTTCAGCAAGTTCAGCCTTGGTAAAATTAACAGCAAAGTTAGGAAATACATCTTCAGTATCTAATTCTGAGTCTGATTCAGAAGCTTCACTATCTTCTGAAATGTTAGCCATGAGAGCTATGTTTGCCCTCTCATCATCTGATTCTGAGTCAGCTTCAGATGAGTCAGAGTCATCCCATGTAGCCATGAGACTTTTCTTCTTTTCTCTTCCAAACTTCTTTTTGGGCTTTTCCCTCTGAAGCTTTGGGCAGTCACTCTTGTAGTGTCCTTGCTCATTGCACTCATAGGAAATGATGTCCTTGGTGTTTGGATTTTTGCTACTTGAGGAGCCTTCAGATCTTCTGTATCCAGAAGAAGAATCTGTCCTTCTGTATCTGGAAGAAGACTCGTTCTGATCAGATCTTCTGGGATTCCTGAACTTCCTTTTCCTCTGCTTCCACAGTTGATTTACTCTTCTGGAGAGGAGGGAGAGTTCGTATTCTTCTGATGAGGATCCATCAGATGTTTCTTCAACTGCCTGCAAAACTTTAGACTCAGATTTTTTGTTAGATTTCAATGCTAAAGGCTTACGTTACTTTTGAGGCTCGTCAGCTTCTAGCTCTATCTCATGACTTTTGAGGGAGCTGATAAGTTCCTCCAGAGTAATTTTGTTGAGATCTTTTGCTAGCTTCAGAGCTGTAACCATTGGTCTCCACTGCTTGGGTAAGCTTCTGATGATTTTCTTGACATTGTCAGCAGTAGAGTATCCTTTGTCCAGAACCTTGAGACCAACTACCAGAATCTGGAATCTTGAGAACATTGTTTCAATGGATTCAGATTCTTCCATTTTGAACGCCTCATACTTCTGAATGAGCGCCAGAGCTTTAGTTTCTTTGACCTGTACGTTGCCCTCATGCGTCATTCTGAGTGAGTCAAAAATGTTCTTTGCTGTGTCTCTGTTGGAGATCTTTTCATATTCAGTATAGGAGATGGCACTGAGAAGGATGGTTCTGGCCTTGTGGTGATTCTTGATGTCATGCTTTTGTTGGTCGGTCATTGTTTTTCTATCAATCTTCTGACCGCTCGCATTCACAGGGTGCGTGTATCCATCTGTCACCATATCCCACAGATCAGCATCATGTGCCAGAAAGAAGCTTTCAATTCTGTCTTTCCAGTAATCAAAGTTTTCTCCATCAAAGACTGGAGGTTTCCCGCTGAATCTGTCTCTGTCCTCATGGTTGTCATTGCTGGTGTGAGAATAGTTTCCTGCCATTGTGTTTTTCTGACGCTGGATCTTGTACTGACACGGTTAAGTGTTTTAGCTCAGAACCAGGCGCTCTGATGCCAATTGAAGAAGTGAAAAACACAAGAAGGGGGGGTTGAATTGTAAAACTGAAACTTAATGCAATGAACAAGATATTTTTATCCTGGTTCGTTTGATCTCAAACTACTCCAGTCCACCCGTCAAGGTGATTTCGCCTCTCTCCAATGAGGTCTTAATCCACTATATTCAACTGAATATTACAATCTGCTTTAACAACTGCTAAAGCCTTCTTGACGCAAACCATAACCCGGTTTGTCAAGGAAACACTTTCTTACAAAAAGATAAAACTAGGTGTGTGAATGTTTTCTAAAAAACTGTATCACAACTGTGATGTTACAAAACTTAAGCTTATGAAACTAGATTGCTAAACAATGATTGAGTAAGGAGATATGTAGCGTTTAGCAAACTGAGAGAAGGAAGATTATGATTAGCTTTTAGGCGTGTAATATGTTGGAGAGCATTAGCCAAATCAATCTTCATAGTCTTGTTTATATACCACTGAGATTGTTGAACGTTGGAGCAATAATCTTGATTCAATGCTAATAACAAACTTTCCTTATTGAGCAGATCTTGTCTGGAATGATGCCGTTGGTAATAATACGCTTTCAATGCACAGTACCGTTGCTTACTTAAAGCATGTTCTGGCTTGGCCTCATTCTGACTCTGCTTAACTGTTGATGAACTGTTGTTGACTTTATCAGAGTGTTGAGCGCAATTCTGTTCATCAAGCTTCAGCATACACGTGAGTTAATCTTCTGATTCTGGTATTCTGATATAGCAACTTCTGATGCTGGTGTTAAAGACCAATATTCTGATGCTGATTAAGTGTGATCTTGCTGATACCTATCAGAGTTTCTGCAAATCAGAAAGTAATATTTTAGGTAGCAAATCGTTCATACATGAATCACATAAATAATATATCTTTTCATTTTGTTATCATCAAAACTTAAACATAGGGTAGTAGATTCAAACTTTGTTCTAACAAGCCTTGTCATTATGGAAGGTAGTCTGTTGTCTAGATTTTTGTTACTCTAATGGATGGTAGCCTTGTCATTATGGAAGGTAGTATGTCGTTGAGATTTCTGTTACTCCAATGGATTGTAGCCTTATCATTACGTAAGGTAGTCTATTGTTCAGATTTTTGTTAATCCAATGGATGGTAGCCTTGTCATTATGGAAGGTAGTCTGTCTTTAAGATTTCTGTTACTCCAATGGATTGTAGCCTTGTCAATATGTAAGGTAGTCTGTTATTCAGATTTTTGTTACTCCAATGGATGGTAACCTTGTCATTATGGAAGTTAGTCTGTTGTCGAGATTTTTATTATTCCAATGGATGGTAACCTTGTCATTATGGAAGGTAGTATTTTGTCGAGATTTTTGTTACTCCAATGGATGGTAGCCTTGTCATTATTAAAGGTAGTCTATTGTCAATATCTTTGTTACTCCAATGGATGATAGCCTTGT